AATTGGGCTCTCCCTGGGGCTGGAGTAGGAGGAGTGGGCTGACCAAGGGCCCTTCCAGCTGGCACATGGGCCTCCTGAAGCCTCAGCATTTCCCCAGCACACCCAGACATTTGGGCAGCCTTGGGAAGTCCAAGCCGTCAACCTCTGATCCACCGCCTTGGGGTCCTGGGCCACCAGCCCTGATGGCAAAGCTAAGGGATGTCTGTTTATTCCTCTGTCCCAGACCCACCCGCCCCTGCTGCTGCCCTCGCTCCAGCAGAGGGAGGTTTTGAGCAGAGCCTCTTGTCTGAGAGACATTCTTAGCAGCCTCGACATTGCCTTTAGACGACAGCGTGCCAGCCTCTTGCATATCGGCTTTTTCAGAGTCATTTATGAGCAGACAAAATACTGAAGTAAAACTATGCTAATTTGAACCCTTCTGCAGCTCCTGGAGGCTCTGTGACCTGCGTCGTTGTAGGGGAGGGAGGGGAGCAGGAAGGGGCTGTGCAAGGCCTGGAATTAATTCTGATGTTTGTGTTGTAGAAAATTTGGAGAGTACAGAAAAGTCTACACAGGAAAAAAAAATACCGGGCATGCAGAGGCAAACCCGGATAAATCTGATGAGACCACACGGTCCACCATGTGGCTGCTGCTTTTCCCCTATGGTCAGAAACCCACCGTGGGCCCAGATGGGTCATGATTTATTATGTAGCAAATCCCTCTCCTTGGGCAGTTGGGCTGTTTCCAATTTGTGGATTTTGTAAATAACAGTGGCCATCTTCACTCTCCTTTCAGATGATTTCTTTCAGGATAGATTCCTGGAAATAGAAGGCTGGGCCAGGGACTGCGGGCACTGAGCTTTTAAACCTCCCCTCAGATCATCTCAGCCATGTTAAAACGTCCCCAGTCCTAACTTTGGACAACCCCAGGTGTTCCCGGTGTTTTCCTTGTTACTCTCTCCTCTGGACAGCCCTGAGAGAAATAGGGAGAAGTCAGTAGCCCCACCTTCCGATGGAGAGACTGAGGCTCAGGGCAGTGAACGGCTTGCAGGTTGCAGCTGGGGCCCAAGATGAGGTAGGGGTGTCCAGGTGGGGAAGGGAGTTCCTGGTTCCCTCACTGAGGCACTGCTCAGGTGCTGGGGACTGGGCTGTGGCTGTCCCAGATGCCCTCCCTGCTCCTGGGGTGCTCATGAGAAAGACACTAGACAGGTAACAAATGATGGGAAAATGCCAAGATGGAAATGAATGGTGGTTATGAGACACTGTGGGACTGAGAGCTGTTCTTCAAGTTGGGCAGCAGGAAAGCCCTCTCTGAGGAAATGACGTTTGTGCTGGGATGTGATGGGAAGGAGCTGGCCCTGTGAGGGTAGGTGTTCAAGGTGGAACAGCAAGGACAAAGGCCTTGTGGTTGGACATGCTTGTGGAAGAAACTTACAGAAACAGGTCAAAGAAAGCTGGTGGCTGAGGGGACAGTGAGGACAAGGCTGGAGAGGGAGCCAGGACCAGAGAGGTGTTCCAGAGGCAGCAACTAGCAAGTGCAAAGGCCTTGGGGCAGAGACCCAGGGAATCCAGTGGAGACCAGTGTGGCTGGAGTGGAGTTGGGAAGAGGAGAGGATGTGGGAAGTTCACAGGAAGCTTCGGGGTCAGGGAGCTGCTTTCTCCACTCATCTCTTACCTTCCTTTCTGTCCCTGGCTCTCACACATCCTGGGGCAGGGCTGGGACTCCCTTCACACCTACTGTGTGCCAAGGTCTGCTGAACACTCAACACACGTTAGGTTTTGTCATTCCTGTCCCCATCTGGAGGTTAAGAAATCAGGCCTGAGGGTTGGGGTTTGCCTCACACCTACCTGAGCCGCAAGAAGCTCCCTCCTGGAGCCAGAAAGAAGGGCATGATTAGACCTGGTCCCTATCCTCTGGTGGTTTGTCTCCCCATCTGTAAAGTGGGTGAGTGAATAGATCAGTGATTCTCCACCCTCTCAGGCCTGACACCATTTGAAAATAACATTTATAACAGCCCCTTTACTCTCCTGAAGTAAATTCACAGGTGATAATCATCTACCTATACTGAATTGTTAAAAATCAACACAAAGCTTCAACTACATTATAAAAGAGCAAGAAAACAAAGGAATTTACAAAATGATGCGCATTTCAGCATGTAAATGATGAGCCCAAGTTCCCCCAGAAGTGGGGATCGGGAGTTTGCCCAGGTGCAGGATGGAGCATGGAGCCCGCCTCCTGGCTCTGCTGCCAGGGATGCGGGTTTTCCCAGGCCGGGCACAATTGTTGGTTAGTTTCCAAGCAAGGCACGACCCAACTCCTTGGCTACAGTGCAGCTGCATTGGTAGCAATTCCATGTTCACACCGGGCAAAAAGTCCTGTGTGTTCATGCAATAAATGGAGTGAAGATGATTCAGAGAATCGGGACGGGCCCCTCCCACCTGGGAAAGTCGCCGGTGTTGGAAGAACCAGCAGGACCGCCCCACCCAGTCCCATTCTCCACGTGACGGGATCCAGACAACCAAACACGACCACACAAAGCTCCAAAATGCCCAGCGGGGGAGGGCCACCCCGCTGACAATCACAGAATTAAATGACGTCAGTTAATGAGCCTATTGTGGTAGTTAAAGAAAATTATTTAAATGACCTATTTACACTTCAGTTTTTTCGTGTGGAGGAGCCACAGGGCCTTAACTCCTGTGGTCCTGACCCCTTCCTGGTTCCTCGGCACCTGCCCTCAGCTGTCCAGCTGGCGGGGCCCTCCCTTCCTTGTTGCTGGTCTCCGCGTTCCTGCCCGCACGTCTGCGAGGGAGGAGTTAGGTCTGGTTTTGCAGCTGAGAAAAGGCAGGCCAGCCAGCATCCAATCACAGCCGCGCAGGGGGACCTGGATTCCCCTCCTGTCTGGTGCCCAATCCCAGAAGCTCTGGCTTTACCAGCTCGTTTCTCCACGGACCTTCTGACGCCAGATTTTTTTGTGTGTGCTGTGTTCTGTCAAGAGTACATAACTCCACTCGCGGTGCTAGACTTAGAAAATAGTAACAGTAGTAACTCATAGGGCACTTAGTCCATGCTTGGCACTGTTCTAAAGGCGTCGCTTGTATTTTTTGATTGATTCGACAAATATTTATTGAACACTTACCTCATGCCAGGGTCAAGTGCTAGAGGCTGGAACTGCATCAATGAAAAGGCAACCCCACGTATCCAACACTTGATTTAACCCTCGCAAAGGCTTTGTGTTATTTGCCCCGCTTTACAAATCAGGAAGACGTGTGACCCCTGGGACGTGAGCCAAGAGACCCTCCAGCTTCCCTCTCCCCTGCCCTCCGTGAGCACCAATTATAAGCCTTCTGTGTGCAGCCGGGAGCCGCATGTCTATTTCTCGCCCACCAACAAGCGGTTGGCATTTTACCCTAGCTGCAGAACTAAGATTTGGAGTAGTAGGGTAAGGTCGCCAACTCCATGTTAAACACACTTTCCTGCGTAGAAGTACTCAGCAAAGTCAGCGGGCACATCAGACAGGACTGCGAGCTCTTGCAACTGCTCAGGAACTCTACAGCCGCCAGCCGAATAACTGTATGACTCGTACCTCAGCTTTTCCAGTTAGATCTAATAACAACCCACTTAATCTCGCCTACCCCCACCTGACCAGTCTACTTTTCAGTAGTAACGGGACGGGCAGATCGCAACTCCCAGGCATCCCGCAAAGTAGGCGGGTCACCTTAGGGGCAACCTTTACCCGCTCAAAAATTCGTCTCACATTAGCAGTGAGGATTCGGGCGTCACCCCGAATCGTTATTTTCCTTACTCATAAGTTTAAGGCATAAAGAGGTATTTCTGTTACTTCCTTGGTAATCAATCCCATTCTCGTTTCCCATACGGTGAGTATCAAAGTTGACCAGCGAACTGAGAACCTCGTTCCTTTGAAGTTCATCTTTCTCAGTAATTTTTTTTATGTCGCTTTTCATTTTATGTGTTCATGGGGGAGCCTGGGGAACGGTAGGGCTACGACCCGCTGTATGCAGATAAGTAGCAGGCGTCGCAAAGGCTCACGGGGAGAACCCCGCCCCTTCCGGTCTTTGCTCGGTCGGATTTGTCGCGAGAGTTCGCGGAACGCCGGAAGCTGCTAGTTGCTCCGTAGCGGCCGAAGGGGCGGGCTCGAGGGCTGAGGGACCCCTAAGCTGCTCGCGGTTCCCTCAGCGGTGCAAGATGGCGGACATCTCCCTGGACGAGCTAATCCGGAAGCGTGGGGCTGCGGCAAAGGGGCGGTAAGTGGTCCTTTCTCCCTTCAGAGTTCAGGGTCCGAGTCCTAGCGGGG